CCTTCTTTCTTATTAGGCCAGCGTATGTTTTCAGTTGTGACCACTGTAATTTAATTAAAGGGTTCTCAAACTGTCAATTAGGACTTCCTGAGCAGTTTTGACAACTTAGAGTAAGGCACACTATTTTTTTAAAAAAATCAAGAAGAAGGGGAGCATTGCCAAAACTTGCTTGGAGTCTGCTTAGCCCACTGCCTAAGCAAGCCAGCTGCAGAATTTGCCTAAGCAATGTGAGGGTCCATTTTGACAACGTCCCTGCTTTGTTGGCAAAGGCAAAGCAGTGAGGCTTTCAAAACTCATTTTAGGCTCTGCCTATGCAGATCTTCAGTGGGCAAGGTATAGTATAAGTACCACCATGTCAAAAGATCCTTGACTTAATTGACTTATTTCTGAGTTTGCTTACAGAGTCCTGCACTGACTTTAGAATAGAATAGAATAGAATAGAATAGAATTCTTTATTGGTCAAGTGTGATTGGATGCATAAGGAATTTGTCTTTGGTGCATATGCTCTCAGTGTACATAAAAGGGAAAAAAGAGAGGAAAAAATACATCAGGAATCATAAGATACAACATTTATTGATAGTTATAGGTTACTAAAAAGTAACAATATAAATCATAAACATACAGGCAACATGGTTAAGTGATTGTCAATACTATGTTTTCAAATACATTTTCCAAATTGAAAATTGAAAAATAAGGAGCTGCAAGAAAAGATGTGACTTACCTTAGAATTACAGATGGTTTTAATAAAAGAGCTGGATAAAAAGCATTGGTTCATGACTTTGATCAACCACTTTGCACGTAGTAGTAGTGGTGATAAATGCAGTGAGAATAAGTGATGCAAGAGTGTTCTACGTTTGCAGTTAACACCTGAACACCTCTGTACATTACAATTGGCAATTTTTAGAGACAATACAGTAATGGAACACATGACGTCCTGTGCTCATCCACACATTAATTCTATGCTTATGCTCAATAAATGAATGTCTTAATATAACCAAACGTCAGGGAATTAAAAAGTAGATGAAACAGGTAGTTCTTGACATACAACTGTTTGTGTAATGATAGTCTAAAGTTACAAGGGTACTGAAAAAAGTGACTCATTACCATTTTTCACACTTATGACATTTCCAGCATCCCCATGATCATGTGATCAAAATTCAGATGCTTGGGAATTGACTCACATTTATGACCATTAATGTGTCCTAAAGTCATGTGATCCCCTTTTGCAACCTTCTGGCAAGTAAAGCTATTGGGAAAGCCGGATTCACTTAACAGCCATGTTACTAATTTAAGAACTGCAATGATTCGCTTAACAAATGTGGTAAGAAAAGTCGTAAAATGGAGCAAAACTCACCTAACAAATTTCTCATGTTAGCAACATAAACATTGGCCTCAATTGTGACCGTAAGTCGAGGGCTACCTGTACTGCATAAGCCAGTTAGTGTTAAAAATTCCAGCAATAAAGGCCATGGCATATTATAGGTGTTGAACATCTAGCAACATTTCTAGAATGTCTCTTTTGTGCCGAAGACTGATGCCTGCAGACTGGATGTTGTGGCTCAGAAGCTGCTGACCAATATTCACATATATTATTCTGGGTAGAACTCTTTCTGCCCACATGGGCCCATTTTTTCAGTTCACCCCTTGAAGTGATGTTTTAGGTGACTATGATTTTACTGCTTAAGAAATGTCACGTCTTGGCATGCCTGTGCGAGGTGAAAAATATTTACACTTTGCACCAGCTCTCTTTGGTCAGAATGCATTTCTTAATCAGCTTGGTGGTGGGGTGGTGGTGGAGGGGATTGCAGGTTGTTCAAACATAGTTGCTCAAGCAAAGATGAATTCCACTGAGGGCTCCAGATGGCACATCTTCAAAACTATCTTCAACGAGGCAAGGAGCTTTACCTTAAGTTAAAATGTACAACAACAATCCATGATTTGAAGAACGCTGCAAGTAGTTTCATGTGTCAAAGGGTACTTGGGTCCTGCTTTGAAACCTCAGCCAACTTTGTTTGACCACAGCTTTTGGAAACTGAGAGTGGTTTCAAACTAGCTAGATAGGATGTTGAGGTCTGCTATTCAAAGGCACATATAAACATACAATCCCACTGGGCACGTCGCACAACCTCTAGAGTGCACGTAAAGTAGCTTTTTGGAAGCAGGCCATGGAATGTATTCTTACACGAGGGCTATTTTTTAACACTAGACTCAAGTTTACAGGGAAGCCAACGGTACGTTGATTTGACAGAGTGATTGTGAACATTTGCAGTTCGGAATTTCAAAGGTCCACGATCTTTTTGGCATGTAAATATCAGGGAGGAATTTTATCCTTCTCTTCCTCCTTCTCCTTTGTTGAAGAAGAAAAATGCATGCCATTCTCCCGTCACCCGAGTAATATTTGTCACTTTTCATTGGGTTTTGCTTCACTTGCTTCATTTGTTTGTTGCTCTTTGTACTGTAACTGTTTGTATAAGACATTTCTCACACACTCATCATAACATAAATTATTTAGTGCTTTTACTGTAATTCCTAGATATTTGTGGCCAGGTACTTAAAGTGTATATATTCTTTTCCCTCTGGTTATAGATACAGCAGAATACAGTACCTTCTGGAATTGTGTTCTATTCTCATTTCACCTCTCAAAACCATGAATGATTCTAACTCATACATTTCTTTGTTTTAGTCAAAACCATTATTCATTAAAAATTGACTAGAGGTGATGCTTTGCTTTTAGATAGTATATGCTTTTCTGTCCTAGATAAGTTTTCTTTTTTCCCTGTCTCTTTTTAACCCTTCAAATCTGTCTGGCAAGCCTTAAATACAATTGTTCTGATATTAATCTGAAAATTGTGTTTATCACAGTCTATACTTCTAATTGTATATGGAATGATACGGTTAAGTATTATGATATTTCAACCTGTGTGATTCTAGTGCTTGACCAGATTACAATTTTATTTAAAACTCTTGCCAAAAGAAGATGAAAAAAAAATTTAAAACATTATCATATTTTATTATTTAATTCAATTCATCTCCCAGTCTCTGATTCCATACAATGACTAGAAAAGCTAAGAAATTTACATAACTGTTTTGACATTTCTAGTTGGAATTTAAGATCAGATTCCAGCAGTTGGTGCTTTCCAGATGTGTTTGGACCATATCTTTCAGAATTCTAGAAGTTTCCAGAGTGATCTGAGGAGCCTAAGCTTATGCTCTCAGAGAAGAACCCTACCCTGTCACCTAGGACACCATTTCTGAAAACAATATGGCTTTTTAAGCCCAATTTGTAAAGAAAGGTGAATGGTCCATAAATCAAAGATTTCTCCAATAAACAAACAAACAAATAAATAAATAAATCCATCCCTCTGAGTAAGCCATCCAGCAAACTTTGGATTTCTGCCAAGGTGGCATGTAATTGGAAAATATTATTTTATAGATGAACAAGTTTTGTACATACTAAGATTTTTAAAAAATGAATGCTGCGCTTATTATTTCATAGAAAATAAATTGATTCAGCAGCACCTACTTTATTCAGATGTTACCAGATCAGTTTACATCTGGTAACAGATGGAAATAATTTTCTGGAACTCTTATTTGTATTTCATTTTACCTCGAAAATGAAAATCACTTCATTTTCATTCTTAGCAGTGTGTGCATATGAGAGTATGTGTCTGTAGGAAGCTGGCTTGCTCTGAAAATATGCCTTGAGAGGCTTTCTACTTTAAACTTTAGAACAAATATTTTAATTCTCTACAGCAACAAGAGATCTGGTATTCTCCTGAATGACTATAAGCTCTGCCATAGTTGTCATCTTACCCTGATAATATCACAAGACAAGTAATGACAGATTAAGACCTGACTTGCAGAGGGGAAACTAAATTACAAGACTTTTATTAAGGCATAAATAAACCTATTAGCCATTATCTAGAATACCAATTAGTAGAAGGAGCACTGACAATTTTATTTATCAACATTAAACACAATTATTAATTACAGACCTGACGAATCTACCAGTAAGCAGAACATGTTGGGTGTGCTGGAGGCTTAAGCCCATTATATGAGAAGGCTGATTACCAGAACCCTATGGGGAAATAAGTAATTGTAGTTGTAAAATTTTAATTGCCTTGGAATAAGGTAAATTATATTCTCTTGTCTTAGAATATAAATAGTATGGCATTAAGGTACAAGCCTCAGTAGTTTTAAGCAGCACATGATTTAGACATCCAAGCTATAAGAAACAAGAAAAAGAAACAGTTATATTTGTAGCAGTTAACTTATTTTTTGCTTTGAATTAGTAAATTCATTGATGGTGATAAGCAGCTTTGAGTCTGCTCCTCCGGCAAGTCTTAAGTGTCATATATTGTTACCTTTGGATTAATGAAAGAACAAAAATGCCCCAGGGTTGCATAAGAGCATATAGTTGTTCAACCAACCAATCCATTGTTTCTCTTGAACCAATGTCTGTTATTGAACATGGAAGTGCAATCTGAATGGTTATCAATAGGAATTTAATATCTCTATCTGTGAAGCTGGACCAAAAAAAAAAAAATCTTTCTCACCAACAGCATTATAGCTTCAAAGTGAAGCAAACCTTCTATTCCAAAACTATTTGCATCACACCTTTTAAGAGGTTTATCTAGAAAGTTTCAGTTGGCCTTTTCTAAAATTCAAATGAATTTTCATGAAAAAATATTCTGCAGAAACTGCCTGGTTTTGATTGTAGACTAGATTGCTTGAAACCACTTCATTAAAAGAGGTTTTGGGAAATCAGCTACGTGGTAAACAACCCAGCTTTCTTTTTCAGTAGAAATTCAGTAGAATTTCTTAATCAGCTTTCAGTGAAATTGCTTAGAATGGGAGCTTTAAGAAGACTCTACCCTATGCAAGAACTTGTCATCGATTATTACTGCCATCAGATATTTCCAACCCCCCTTTTTTAAAAATGTGTCCACAGATACAACCCAACTCTATTTACAGACTGGTTCTTTTTCTTTCAAAGATATGAAATCCTGGCTTTCGGGGCACTTGCTCACCAACGCAGCCAAAAATTCTTTTTCAAAACTTATGGAGAAACTTTGCGTTGTGATGGAAGTTACTCCAATGGACAGCAGCCGGAGTATGACTTATGTAGAAAAAGACTCCTTGGTTCAAAGACTGGCTCGTGGGCTCCATAAAATAAACGCACAGACCCTTGAAGCTGGCATAACTGACAGGACCCCTGCTACGGTTGGTATGATCAGTTACATTATGGAAGCTTTCCCATTGTGTTGAAATGTTAATCCTTTCTTAGTTTTACTCATCAGACTGCTTAGCTCTCTAAAGGAAAATTAAAGGAGGTGCAAGAAAAGAGGCAATATTTTTCAGGCTTTCCCTCAATTTGATATTATTTCAGTAATTCTTTCCCAAAACCTTTTAGCATTGTTTCTGTCATTTGCTGCTCAAGGCAATGTGCAGTGTTCTTTTAAAATGCCCCTGTAAGGTAATGGATGATTTTAATTTCAAAAACCCTGTGATTACCCACTGCATATTCGGGATGCATGCTGTTACCAAAGACATTTCCCCCCCAAAATACAGTAACTGCTCTCCATACTTATTTTCATTTTAAGAAAAAACTGTATGTGTGTGTGTGTGTGTTTGTGTGTATCTATCTCTATATCTATCTATCTATCTATCTATCTATCTATCTATCTATCTATCTATCTATCTATCTATCTATCTAGAGTTGCTTTGAGAATACTTTACACTTATGGCTGAATTTAGAAAAGGGAAGCTTCGTCTTAATTTGCTCAGGTATTCCAAGCTACTGATTTATTGCCCAATCAGCATATTTTCTAGATAACACATTGTTCCTGTTCTTTTTTTAATGCCAGAAAACCATAGCATTCTTGCAGAAGCAGATATTTGAATTTACACAAAGGCTGCACACAGCAGAAGTAGAACGGCGGTCATTGCGCTTGGAGCTCACAGAATTCAAACGGAATTTGAATGAGATGAAGAAAGAGGCTGACAAAGCTCATAGTTTTCAGGAGCAATTATATGTGTTTAAGCAATCTGTAAGTCTATTTGATTAGAAGGAGGGAGGGAATAATCAGCTTTAAAGGAGGGGATTCTATTTAGCATGCTTTAAATATCCATTGAAGAACTTCTACGTACTTAGGTGGGATTCTTCATTCTTGCTTTCCCTAACACACGCACAAAACCCCTCTCTATGTCTTGTGAATTCTCAGCTGGGAGTCAGTTCTATTAAAAGAAAAGGCCGAAGACACTCCTAGTACAATTAGTCCATTATATTGCAGAATAAGGTAGATAGAATCAATAATCTATTCAGAAAAGCTGAATTCTTGGTCTGTTGAATTAGGCTGTTTGAGCTGTGGGACAACTGGAATTTGAAAACTCAAATGATGTATGGGCAACATCACTCAGTATGTTTTTATATACATTCTACTTGTATTCCACACTGCATTTTGCAAATGGTTGGCAAAATTGGCAAACAAAGCAAGTCTTCTGCACGTGCTGCAAAAGGTCTACATTTACCAGGTCTACATTAGATTGAACAAGTGATCTAACAAGGATTATTCCCTGGCAGCTATACAGGAGGCAGTTTATTTGCAGATGGGCAGTATTTGCTGCTGCTTCATGTGACTGAAGGTGATCACCATTCATGAAGGTCCGCCTGTTGTCACATGTAGTAGCTTGGATTTCTGAAGGCTTTTCCTTTACATGTCAACATTGCTTGTGTCGAGGACCTTTGTAAAAGCCACATGTCTTCTGGAAATAGTCTGAATTCCTGGGAAAGGAAGAATTAACATTGACAATACTAAAGAATAAAACAGAATATAATTCTTTATTGGCCAAGTGTGATTGGACACACAAGAAATTTGTCTTGGTGCATATGGTCTCAGTGTACATAAAATAAAAAATACATTCATCAAGAATCATAATGAGAACACTTAATGATAGTCATAGGGTACAAATCAGAGGTGGGTTGCTTCCGGTTTTACTACCGGTTCCCTTTGCTTGCGCTTTGTCTTTGTCTTAAGCAGATAGACAAAGTTTTAACTGTTATTTATTTCATTTTGTCTTGCAACATGTAAATTGACAAGAATGGATAAATAAGGACTAGGGTTCTATAGGTTGGTAGCCAGTTTTTCCAGAACATTTTAGGCAGTGCCAAATAAGACATTAGATGAAGTCTGGGTGACTCTGTAATTAAACACATGGAGCAATATGGAGATTCTGTTCAAATTAACTCCTTTTGTAGAATAAATAGTAATAGTAACAACAACAACAATAATTGCAGTTTCCTGCAATAACACCAGCAGAACTGCAAAAAACACTGCTACTTGGAACATCATATATTTTAAGAAGGCACTTGGTTGATACCTAGGACGCTGGCAGCCACCCGTATCAACCATTAGCATCAATCAATGGTATTTGTGATGCTTTTTGAATGTTCAGTTAACTGAGTTTCATGTTTAATAAATAAAATATAATAATAATAATAATAATAATAATAATAATAATAATAATAATAATAATAATAATACTAAGTGGAACTGCAAAAAACTGTGCTACTCGGAACAACATACATTTTAAGAAGATACTTGGTTGATACCTAGGATGCTGGCAGCAACCGGTGTCAACCATCAGAGCCAATCAGTGATATTTGTGATACATTTTTAAATGTTCAGTTGACTGAGTTTCATGTTTAATGAATAAAATAGGTAATATTACTACTAATAGTAGTAGTCATAATAATAATAAAATCTTTCTTGGGATAATTTGAAAGAAAAGCTTTCTTGATGCCTGCACTTCTGCTTCAGTTTTTTGAGAAATCTTGCAAATAAAAATCACCTGGCATTAACATTGTCTAATGGCCCTGGCTTGGAGAGAAGAGCCTCTCTAGGGCAAATATATTGAGCGTTTTAAAACTTTTACATTAGAATGTTGCATATTGGCAAGTGGGATACTGAAAATCAAGCATATAAACAATGCTGCTGCTTCATGACAGAACACAATTTATTTCCTTTATCAGAAATTGATCACCCACGAGAGGTTTGAAAGTGCATGTGAAGAACTAAATAATGCATTACTCCGGGAGCAGCAGGCCCAAATGCTTTTGAAGGAACAGGCGCAGCAGCTCCAGGAGTTGCAATTTAAACTGGAATTGCATTCTTCGGAAGAGGCAGACAAAAAACAAACTCTCAGCGATGCTGTAAAGGTAGGATGGTATTTCTTCAAAAGTAAAAAAAAAAGAATAAATATGCGACATTCACTTGAAAGCAACGTTTAGGTTTTTAGGAAAACAGAAACGATATAAAGTATAGCCGCTCAAGTAAACAGAGAGCTGATGTAGGAAACCCACCCAGATAGAAAGAGAAAAGCAGTCAGTGTTGAGGGAAGAGTGGAGGGGGACTTCTTAAAATTAAATAAAATATAAAGATTGAGCCTGGGTTTGTTGTTAAGAAAACAAAAGGACAGAGGTCCTGTCCATTCCCCTTGGCCCCAGTGTGTTGAATTTAAAATGCATGTAGTAATTCATTTCATCCTTCTGACATCTTTCAAAGAATTAGTCTGGACAGAGAGGAAGTTGTTTAAAACCAAAAAGGAGAAAGCTCATATTCTTGTGGTCAGCTCCTGATCCTTAAGCCATGGTTATTTTTCTTCGTTTGTTCTTCAGAAGGCCAAGGAGGCAGTTAATTGGCCAGTTGCTCTACAAATTTGCAGTATTTATTACATATGCATGTTTCCCTCTGGGGAACGGGGCAAGCTATGTAATCAGCGCATTTTCCTATATAGCTCTGCTGTTCTACTTACTACTTCCTGAAAAAGAAGATGTAACCGGTTTTCCTTTAGAGGTGGGGGCCGATGGTGGCTTTATTGCTGCAACTCTTTTTCTCTTATCAAGAAGGAAAAGGGGGATGGATGGGAAGGAAATATGGCTACTTGTATTGCTCAAACAGCTCAATATTGCAAGGCACAGGTCATCCTTGACTTATAACTACAATTGAGCCCAAAATTTCTGTGGCTAAGTGAGAAATTTGTTAAGTGGGTTGGGGAATTTTACACACTTTTCTTGCCAAATTTGTTAAGTAAATCACTGCAGTGATTAAATAAGTAACCCTGTTGTTAAATGAATCTGACTTCCCCCTTTGACTTTGCTTGTGAGCAGGGGATCACAAAAGGGGATCATATCAGTGGTGGTATTCAGCAGGTTCTGACAAGTTCTGGAGAACCAGTAGCGGAAATTTTGAATAGTTCAGAGAACCGGTAAATGCCACCTCTGATTGGCCCCGACCCCATCTATTCTCTGCCTCCTGAGTCCCAGCTGATTGGAAGGGAATGGGGATTTTGCAGTATCCTTCCCCAGCCATGCCCAAGCCACGCCCACCAAGCCACGCCCACCAAGCCACGCCCATAGAACTGGTAGTAAAACAAATTGAATCCCACCACTGGATCACATGAATCCCGGGACACTGCATAATACATATGAACCGATTGTCAAGCACCCGAATGCAAATCACGTGACCGTTGCAACTGTCGTAAGTATGAAAAATGCTCATAAGTCACTTTTTTCGGTGCTGTTGCAACTTCGGACAATCACTAAGTGAATTTGTGTAACTCGACGGCCATCTGTACTTTCATTCCAGGATTGCCAACATCTCTTTGCAAGACTTCTGCCTGGAAATAAAATTGATGTCTACAGGATGGCAGACTAATTTCCTGGCAAAAGTGGGAAGACACACACCCTCTCCAAATCATCTTTAATGGCCACACTGTTAAAATAGACAATGAAACAGAACCAAGAAGTAAATGAGTCTGTGAGAAAAATGAAATGCCGTTTATCGAAATAAGTGTAAGGGTGAGGGAAAACAGAGTTTATTAAATTAAATTTTAATTAAAGTTAAACTAATTAGATACAGTTAATGAAGTTAATCTCTTAATAATTTGAGACTTTCTTCCCCTTCTGTTACTTTATCCTGATTACCATTCCAAGTTTGAACAGGGTGTCAAATGTTGATGCACCTGGGCAGATCACCAGAGGAGATTAATCATGCTTGGATATTAAAATTAGTGTTTTCAAGAATTGGATGTTAAAATTAGTGTTCAAGAATGTAAACAGATGTTATTATTTTAAAAAACCATTTCTCGGTATAACTGGAATCAGTGAATAACATGTCAAAGATTATAGCAAGTGGTTCTCAATCTTTTCTTCACCATGGACCGACCCACTTTAAATACCTTTTGTGGCCACAAACCATGGCCAGTGGTGTATTAACCATTAAGCAGACTAAGCATGTGCTTAGGGCACCAGGCCCAAAGGGGGCACCACAAAGTTGAGAAAGGAAAAAAACCCAATGAAGCTTGGCTTTGTTTATACAGTATGTGCAAAGGAGGGGGGGCACTAAGATTTGCAAGTGTTTAGGGCAACAATGAGCCTTAATCCGCCAGTGACCATGGCCATAGACCATCAAGACTTAACTCAAGATTTAAATCATAACATTTCTTCAAGCCTTTGTGGACCCCCTGCGAAAATATCACAGCAAGGGTACACGAACCACAGGTCGAGAACTACTGGATTACAGGTAGTCCTCGATTTACAACAGTTTGTTTAGTGACCATTCAAAGATACAAATGCACTGGAAAAAGGTGACCGTCTTTAACACTGGCGCAACGTGCACTAAGTTCACCTGGTGCAATAGGACTGGGTGTTTAGCAAGATTCACTGGACTGGGGATTTTCTGTTTTTCACTGAGTTGTATTGTGTTGTGGGGGTGCATGAAGGGAGGCTCAGCCAATCTCATTGTACACATGTACTTTGTCAATAAAGGTTTGAATTTGAATTGAGTTGAATTGAACTTACAATTATTGTAGCATCCCCATGGTCACATGATCAAAATTCAGATGTTTAGAAAGTGATTCATATCCAGGAGACATGAGATCACCTTTTGCAACCTTCTGACAAGCAAATCAATGGGGAAGTTAGATTCACTTAACGGCCATCTTACTAACTTAACATCTGCAGTGATTCACTTAACAACTGTGGCAAGAAAGCTGGTAAAATGGGGCAAAACTCACTTAACAAATGTCTCATTTAGCAACAGAAATGTTGGACTCAACTATAGTCGTAAGTTGAGGACTACCTGTATAGTATTTTTCTATGTAAAGCACAATGTAAACAAATAAGGAATAATTAGGAATAACATTCAAACTTTATCCAGTTTTTCCCCCTAGAAAAACAAACTGAATAGTAAGATTCTTCACAAAGATGACAGCTAATTATAGAAGCACCTAACTCAATTGATGCATAAAATTCAGAAAACAATATTTATAGGAAAAAATAAATTTTGTCTATTTATTCATTGAGTTTGAAAACCTGTAGTTTTTAAGAACCTTTAATATTAATGATTATAAAGGCATCAAAGAATAAAGTTGATAATTATATACCATATACTTTGGTTTGTAAGATATATAACATGTATTACTAAGTAGGCAATGTACATTATTCTGTTATTTTCATCCAGTAGGTTTAAAAACTCAGTTGATTAATTTTGCAGCTTTATCGGTTTTAATTATAATCCCATATTTTTTTATCTACCCAATGGTATATCCCATAGAGACAGGCATGCTTGCCAATTATGTTTCAAGGTCAGTCAGAGCTAAGCATACTTCTTAGATTATTTCTTATAATCTAAGGCAAGGAAAGATAGTAGCCTAGCTTTCTCATTTTGCAACAAAAATTTATGCTTACAAGAGCAAGAATATATACTGTTTTGCACAATAAAACTATCTGGTAATTTCGAACAATAAAACATACTGCTTGAAACATTTTCTATGTCCACAAATACTAGAAACACCTAAGTTTTTTTGCTGTTTTTTTTAAAAACGTGTGGCCCTTCATCTTCTCTAAAATGTATGGCTGAAAATATTTCATGAGAGAATTTTTGTTAAGTTTTATATATTGATCCTAAGCATATATCATCCATGCAGACACTCAAGGCACATAGTCAGTCATAAAAATAGCAGATGCATACATCACTATTACAAATCAAACAGCAAATAGCAACATTCAAAGGCAGGAGTGGCCCAACCAGAATAAATCATGATAAGAGAACTGACAAGTTACTGATCTAGTGAAAAGTATCCTGAAATGACAGTGTCTTCACTTCCATTAAGTCAACTTGCTGGGGACAAAGAATTGCACAAAAGAGGGTTGAAACAATCTTTGGTACAGTAGGTAGTCCTCAACTTACCACTGTTCACTTAATGATCGTTTGAATGAAGTGCATGTAAAGTACTCCTGGCTATCACAAAAAGTTGCCTACATGGCAATTTGCAAGCTGCTGCCTCTGCCTCCTAAAAGAACTTCTTGTTTCTTGAGGGTGGTCAAAAGAGCTCCCTGCTAAAGGATCTCTGTGCCTGTTGGCACAGAGCTGAAATCCTTTGGCAGATCCCATTTATCTCTGTGGGCCAGCTGAAAGAGCTCCCAGCTGAAGGATTTCAGCTCTGTGCAAATAAGCACAAAGGATTTCAGCTCTGCAAGCAAGTACAGAGCTGAAATCCTTCAGCAGGGAACTCTTTCAATCAGGGATGAGAGGGAGCTGAAAGAATTTTTAGCCCCAGAGTGGATAGGCAGCTCAGTAAGAAAAGGAGTGCAGGGTGCCTTGGGGTGGGGAAAGCTTGGCATAGGTGACATATAAGCTTCACCCCACGGGTTAAAAAAAACAAACCCTGAATCATTTTCCAGATAGAGTCCATTTGTCTCTTCCAGAATACCCAGTCAGTATTATAAGCAGTTGTATTGTCTGGATGCTTCCAGAGACTGCCAGGTTGGAAAACTGCCCATCACAATTAGAACTTGTACTTTACATTATAATCTACAGCAGTGGTCCCCAACCTTTTTATCGCCGCGGACCAGTCAGCCTTTGATAATTTTACCGTGGCCCGCTGAGCGCACGCAGGGGCGCGCGGGGCTCTCTTCCCTGGAGCCTTTGCGCATGGCCCAGGAGCTTTTGCGCACGGCCCAGGAGCCTT